TGCAGTCATTCAATTTTTACCCCCCGGTACACAGTTTCTCATTCAACAGCGCCAACATAGTGAAACAGATATTGAAGAACAACCCCAACAACAACAAGTGAATGAAGAGCAACAAGATAACCCACCATAGGAAGACAATATACTAGAACATCATTCTCCTAATTATTCTCACTATTAAATGTTATACAAATATCTATAGAATAATATTTCAATTCTACTTGTATCTTGACCCTCTTTTTAGGATTGTACATTATGTTTTATTATGCATAAATGATAGTACATTTGAATTTACTTGTTATTAAGTTGAGTTAGATTTATGTTTAATTGGATTGTTGAATAGATTATTGAATTGGACTGGATTGAATGTTATCTATTTTATAGGTTATATGAAAAAAAAACAAAAATAATTGTTCTAGAATTAGAGGCAGTTTTATCGACAAATTTACCGACGGATTATCCGTCAGTAAGTTGCGCACGAATAACACTGATAATTATTGATGGATATATCCGTCGATAAGTCATTTGAAAAAAGCCCACTTATCAGACTTTACCCACGGATATATCCATCGGTAATTACCCATGACATTTACCGACGGACTAAGAAAATATGTCGGTAAATGTTATAGGTAATTACCGACGGATATATCCGCTGATAAGTCAGACTTTACCCACGAAAATATCTGTCAGTAATTACCCATGACATTTACCGACCGACTAGAAAAATTTGTTGGTCAATTTTACCGACAACACAATTTTCGATGGATTTCTAACCGTCGATAATCTGTTGGTAATATCTATTTACCGACCGATTTTCTTAGTTACCGACGGGTTTTGTTGGTCGAAAAATCCAATTTTTCTTGTAGTAAAAGTATTAGTAAATGAGGAGTTAATAGATAAATTATTGATGAATTGTCTTAAGATCACGAAAGAGGTGCAGGCCAAAACAGGACATGCTAACCTATTTGAAAGCAATGAGGGGGAGATTGATGGAAATGTCCCTACATTCCCAAGAGATGATTTTGATGATGATTCAAGTCAACTACATTCAAGTCAACACCATTCAAGATGAATTAAGGACAAGCTGAATTTATGACGTTGGTGACAATGTGAAACATTTTCCTACATGCCCAATATATCTTTTTGATAAAGATGATGATTCAAGCAAGCCCAAGATGATTCCTGAAGACTAGATAGAGTCTTAGAATACTGGATATGGAGGTACAAGTTGATAAAGTAATATTATGCATAAGCCTCCAAAACACAAGTGTGATAAAATTCATAACATGATATTTTTCTCTCGTCATAATCAATTATGATACATCGAAATGGAAAAATGATTTTCTCTGTCATAATTGATTATACTGGCAACATAATTAATTATGGCAATTCAAATTTGAAAAATATTTTTTTTAAGAATAAATATTTTTAAATATATCCTAATTTTTATTCATAAAAATATTAATATCCAACGACCATTTTCTCGATGTTATTTTTCTATTTAATTAAGTTTTGATGAAAAATAAAAAACACACAATTACGAATTCGAAAATACAATTTACATTCAATCAATTTTGAGAAAAGAATTCTGAGCAAGGCAACAAAGATATTTTACACCTTTTGAGAAAACCATCTTCTCTACTGCCTTTTGTGCTCTCATTGTTAATCACACTTGTTCTTGAAGATTGACATTCTACAGGCTTCTACAATTTGTTTTCTCCATTACCCAGGTGTGATTGTTCTTATTTTTATTACATTCATCCTTTGTGTATTGGTGGCAAATGAGGTGTTTTCATCCTTTGATTTGTTCAAAGGAGGTTTTCATCCCTAGTGTGATTCTAGGGAGGTGTTCATCCTTAGTGGGATTCTAAGGAGGTGTTTTTCATCCTTTGATTTGTTCAGAGGAGGTGTTCATCCCTAGTGGGATTCTAGGGAGGTGTTCATCCTTAGTGAGTTTCTAAGGAGGTGATTGTCTTTTTAATTAGTTTACTTTTTACTAGTTCTTCTGTTGAATTGATTGTAATTTATAAACTGAATTTGAAAGATAGTGAATTGGGAGTCACTCTTGTGTTAAGAGTTGACTGGGAACTAGATGTAAGGTTAGCTATACCCGAACCAATATAAATTTTTATGTGCTCTTCTCTTTCCCTTATCTCTTTCTCTTTTCCTGATTATATTATCGCTTCCTCTTTATTTGTGTTCAAACAAATTATTGATTCACAAATAAATTTTTAATTTGACATCTATTTTAATTTGTGAATCTATTCGCCCCTAAGTACGAGTTGTGTTGTCAATAATTTCACTTTGTAGCTAGGGAAATCAGAACGATATGGGTAGTTAGAAAGTATCTTGTAGTATTGATTTCAACATGATCCACAAATATTAGTCTTTGAGTTTTAAATATAGTATCGATCTTCGAAAGATGTTTATATGAATCAAATGTAATATAATGTATATAATGTGATAAAATATAAATGTGTAATATTATATGTGTGGTAATTTTGATGAATAATTATTATTTGAATAATTAACTTACTTATATTTGTTTTTGTTTTGTTTGTATGACTATTGAGGTAATTATATAAAAACAAATGATATTGCATACTATACCTAACCAATAGATTTAATATAGGATGTAATTATAATAAAAATTTTGTACACATATTTATTAATATTTTATAACATGATCTTATACGAGTAAAAATATTTTTTAATTAAATATTTATTAAACATAATATATTATCTAGTGAATGCAAATTTATTCTAAAAAAATATATTATAATAGTAACTATTTATACAATTGTTACAAAAAATACCAAAAACAATTATTCAAAACTCTAGACTTTTTCTTGTGGCGTATTTTTTTTTTAATTATTACTTAAGAATAGTAGCAAGTAAAATAAAAATATTTTATATATGTAAAAGTAATTTACATTACTTTTTTTTACAGGATATATAAAAGAAGAAGGAATTTTATTTATTTATTTATTCCTTCTATTCTTACTAAAATTATACAAATATTTATATTGTCGGTGGAAATAAACTAATTAAGGGGTTTTGGTGAATGGTATGAGGCATACAAAAGGTAACCACTATTTCTCTATCTAGCATGATGGAAGTTTTCATATCAGATTCAAATGTTAATATTGATAACTCTGTCCCTTTAAAAGTTACCGAGTTGTCAATAAAGTTTGTGTCCCAAGTAATTCTTGGAAAGAAGACGATGATGCTTGTAGAAAAGATATTTGAGATATTTGACACCTCCATCTACTTAAGTTGATATTTAAATATAACATGCACAAAATATCACAATAAAGAATGAGAACAATTATCATTTAAAATAATACAATCTTATAATATATATATATATATATATATATATTTTTTTTTTTTCAACTTCCTCAACACATTCTATTTTATGAAGATTTAAATTAAATTTGTAGTGACTAGTCGGGATAAATGAGCCCAATTTTAATCACGTTCTTAGTGATAACTACTCATTTCAATCCTCAAGGTTTAACCTCCATCTACAATATCATCAAATCTTCATAAATAGATATTATCATAGAAAAATAATTAAATAATATAAAATAAATTAATAAATAAAATCAGTGCATAACTAGAGATAAATAAGACCAGGTCAGGACTGGAGATAAACATAAAGCGAGGATCGATACGTAACTAGAGATAATTAAAATAAAATCAATACAAGACTGAACAAGAATAAATAAATATAAGGCAGGAACAATACTTAACTGGAGATAATTAAAATAAAATTAGTGCAAGACTGAAGAAGAATATATAAACATAAAGTAGGATTAGTACGTAATTGGAGATAATTAAAATAAAACCAGTGCTAAGACTGGAGAAAAATAAATAAACATAAGTCAAGATCAGTACTTAACTGGAGATAATTAAAATAAAACCAGTACAAGACTGGAGAAGAATAAATAAACATAAGGTAGGCGAGTGACAGATCTTGACCATTGATCTTGGGGAGCCAAATAATATATTATTCATAAATAATAAATAAATATAAAATGAAGAAAGAAGATGAAAGGGTGTAAAGATAAAATTCTAGATATATATTTAAATATATTAAATGATCATTAAGTTTGAGGGAACAAAATCATAAAGAGTTACAAAACTGAGGAGAGGTTGAGAGGATAAAATTGTAAATATACAAATAAATATATTAAATGTTCATTATGTTTGGGAGCTAAAATCATAAATTACATGGGAGTTACAAAACTTTGGGAGCCACGGCCCTCAACTCCCAAGAAGATTCACCACTAAAGGTAGAATCGATACTTAACCGAAGATAATTAAAATAAAACCAAGTGCAAGACTAGAGAAGAATAAACAAACATAAGGTAGTTAGTATGTAGTTAGAGATAAATAAACAAGTAACAAAATAAATAAAATAAGGTTACGGACACCTCACCCCACAACTATAATTAAAATAAAATAGATAAAATGATAATATTCTTCTCCCCTATCTAAGTTGTTTCTCTTCTCTTCTTTCCCTCTCTCTTTCTCTTCTCTTCCTCTCTCTTTTTCTTCTCTCCTTCTCTTTCTCCCTCTCTCTTTTTCTTCTCTTCCTCTCTCTTTTCCTTCTCTTTCTTTCTTACCTTTCTCCTTTTTTTTTCACCACCCCACCCCTTTATATAGGAACATTTTTACCTTTTTTTTTTTCATTTATTGATGTTTCTTCTTATCCTTTTATTAAATTAGTATTTTTTTAAGTTAAAACTTATAACTTTGAAAGAAAACAATTTCAAAGACAGTATCATTAAAAAACAACTTCAATTAATATTCAATTAGCATGCCTCATCCTACATTCAATTAATATTCAATTTGTTTTGCGTAGTGATATCATGCTACAGAAACAAATTGTAAAAGGTGGGACAAGTATGATTTGTCACCAGAATTAGCGGTGCATAATTATCCGGGGATAGAAAGGGCAATTTGTCCAAATTTAGTGTGAAGTGTGTGGTATTGAATTAGCCTCCCTGGGGAGCATCTGGTTCATTCTGTTAAGAAAAGTTAATAACAAAATTGTCGGCTAGCGACAAGGTAACTAACCTATTAGAGAAGAAGGACATCTCTCAAAATCGTTAGTGTGTACTCCTTCATCTCCCTCGTATCATTAAAAATCTGGTCATCCATCTAAATGCAAATTCTCTGTTTGGTTCATCATGCCTATTGCTTAGTCTACTTTCAATTAACTTAGGATATATATAGACCAACTTCTCCATAAACATTTTTTACAACAAAACAAAATTATAACATGAATTGAGCCTGTGTGTTTAAGTGCTCCCTTCTATTATTTACAATCTCATGCTGAGTATTTGGTTTAAATGTGTCATTGTTATTTACAAAACTCAAAGTTTCAGAAGGCACCACATGATTGTACCACTCAGTTCCTGCATTCCCACTTTTGCACTCGGAATCAGTATCACCATCAGTCTTAGATGAAACCCTACCATTTCCAGATGGCCGCAAACTGTGATGCCACGATAGTTCTTCATCTTTCTTGATATCCTTAGAAGAAGTCCTCCAACTCAATAATAACTTTTCAATATCATAAATAAGCAAGCTATGTCACTAGTAAATCATTTAATCAGTGTCACCGAACCTTGTATCGTGTAACATTGGAGTCTAAATATAGTCAATAATTGGAACCAAGTCTTTTGAACTTGCTTCAATTATGCAATTTGACATTCTTTCAATCTCAAATTCACCTCCTGAGGTAACTTCTTCCCCCATTGTGTCAGGCTCTTGCAACATCGAATGAAAATATATTTGGTTGGAAAAATAATTATTCATGTAAATAACATACTACAAGGCTTAACATAAGAGACAAAAAGCATAGTTTCCTGATTTAAAATAATATACCTCTGGTTTGGCCCATAATAATGAAGTATGAGCTTGATGCATACCAAGTTCAGTGCGGTAGCGCGTGAAAATGGTGTGGAAGCAGCACGGCAGTGGTGCCGCAATGTTGCGATAGCGGTAGTGGCAGTGGCGCACCAGCTGCAGCGGTAGTGGAAGCAGGAGCGAAAGCGACAACGGCAGTGACAACGGTAGCAGCGTAATCTAGATCTAGGTTTTAAGATGGAAACGAGAATGAAGTTACGAACAGGTGAAGAAAATTAATTTAGTATTTTTATTTAAAAAATTATAATATTTTTTTAAATTTTAAAAAATTATCTTTATTATTATATTAAAATATTTATATTTAAAATCATATTTAATTAAATAAATATTTCAACATAATAATTTTTTTAAAATTATAATTATTTCTAAATAATTTATTTTTAAATAATTTTTAAAATTATAATTTATTTTTTGAAATAAATAATTTATTTCAGATATAGACAATAATTTTTATATATATATATAATTAATATATTTACTGTGACGTATGATTTTTTTAATAATATTACTGTGAAAGAAAATTTCGTAACGAAGTTTCTCTCATGCACAGTAAATTTTTTTTTTATATGTTCGAAGGGAAAGGAATAGTTACAGCACAAAATTCTTCCTTCCATATCACGTGTTCCTCATCCTTCTTCTTCTTTTGTCTAAATTTCAAGCAACGATACTCTACTCTTGTAGGATCTGGTGAAACAGGAGAAAGTTTGAATTAAGTGGGAAAGTTTCGGTAGAAATACCACACCAGGTAAGGGGAAGTTTAATTCATTCAATAGATGAAATTGAATTGCTGGGTACTCTGTGAATAAGGAATAAGAATAGAGGTATGAATTATTTGTGTTAGAATCGCGCAGCGGAATGTTCGCGTGGTCGGACAAAAACCAAAAGGGGGGGTGAATTGGTTTCTTAATAAAAATTAGGTTTTCAAAATTTTTCCCAAATTTTACCGATTAAAAACTGTGTAAATGTAAATAGAGAAAGGGATAGAGTCTTACACAGGAAATTTATACTGGTTCGGATCAAAAGACCCTACGTCCAGTTGCTAATCACTCAACAGAGGATTAACGCTCTCACTATAAACAAATTGTTACACTACAAATTACAATGGAAGAGATAAAGTAAAAGATGACACCTCTCTTGAAACCCACAAGAGATGAAGAACAGCTTTTCCCGGAGACGGCACAACACACAATCCACTAAGAACTCCACTTAGTGATTCTTATCGCTTCTAGCCCACACCAGGTTCCAAAAGCCCCTTTTCCTTGCAACAAACAGCTTTTCCGGCACTCACAAGCACTTAACTTTTGTATGGAAAAGGTTGTTCTATTTTTCCGAGTGCCAAAGGAGAGTTTAAGTAGGGAAATTAGGGTTTAGGATTTGGGGATTTCGAAACTAGGGTTCTTGGTAATTGGGTTTTCGAAAATAGGGTTTGTTTGAAGTTTAAAATCGAAACAGATTGGAATAATCGATTATTTGGAGTAATAATCGATTAAAAGCAGTCAAATACGTCGAACCCAATACTCTCGGTTTAATCGATTATTTGGTGAAATAATCGATTATCTCAGTCTGAATGCATGCTGAATAATCGATTATTTTGTCGTTTAATCGATTAAAGCAGTGAGTTTGTACGTGAAAATGGTTTTCTCATCTGTTTTAATCGATTATTTACCTATTTAATCGATTAAAGTCGAGCCTGAATGATAAATTTGAGCTTTTTGAAGCTTCTAAGTTACGAGACTATGTACCGGCTATCTTAGATTCTATAATTACAAACTCAATCAAACTAAAACAGAGTTATTACAATACGTAAATCATCAATCTTCAATCTTCAATACTCTAAGTCTTTAAGCTCTTGGATCATCATCAAAATCAACATTCTTCATGATCATTATTTGCAACATCAAGTCCTTGAATGTTCAACAATCTCCCCTTTTTGATGATGATCAAAATTATCTTTTTAAAGCCCTTGTAATAACCTGTTTTATCCGTCATACTAACAAACACATTAAACATACTAGATAAAATTTAAAATTGAATATAGGCTTTAAATTTTTCTCCCCTATTTTGATTATAATCAAAAAGAACTCGAAAGAACAAACATTAGATCTCCCCTCAAAATATGCATAATTTAGAGAAAGCTCCCCCTTAATCATAGCATGAAAGAAGCATCATATTTTATTTCATAATCATTCATCCATTACAACATCAAGACAATAACAAAAGAAAATACATAACAGAATTTAAAATTCTTCACTATCATGATCATTAAAGTGTGCATCAAATCTATTCTCTAAACGACACACTTCAATATCCAGTTGGCAACGGCTAGGAGGCAAGATCGGATCGCATTTAATCGATTATATCTCAAAATAATCGATTATCTCTATATCGACAGACTTTAATCGATTATTTCTAGCAAATAATCGATTATTCGAGGCATTTAATCGATTATTTCACGAAATAATCAATTATTCCGGAGGAGAATACCCTGTTTTGGACGTTTTGAGGGAAAATAATTGATTATCACTTCCAATAATCGATTATTCCGGAGGCTATATCAAGTTTTTGATATTTATATGCATAATAACCTATGAACATGCTACACCACGAATTTTAACATAACAATCATCCGAAACGAGTCAAATTAAGCAGATTTTAAGCTATTTCTAATATCCCTAAGTCTCTTCTAAGATTATAGAATCTATCCTTGGGTAGAGGCTTAGTAAATATATCTGCTAATTGACGTTTAGTGTCTACATACTCTATTTTGCGGTTTCCTTTCGCTGATATGATCTCTTAAAAAGTGATGTCTAATCTCAATATGTTTAGTCCTAGAGTGCATTCTCTGGATTCTTAGTTAGATTGATTGCACTCGTATTATCACACATTAATGGAATGTCATTTAAATATATGCTATAATCCTCTAATTGTTGTTTCATCCACAGAATTTGAACACAACAACTACCAGCTACAATATATTCAACTTCAGTGGTAGATAAAGCAATACATGCTGCTTTCTTGGAATGCCAAGATATTAAGGATGAACCTAACAAATGACATGTCCCACTAGTGCTTTTCCTATCAATTTTACATTCACCATAAACGAGCATCAGAATATTCTAATAAACTAATACAAGCATCAGACGGATACCACAAGCCAAACCCAGTAGTTCCTTTTAAGTATTTTAAAATATGTTTTACTGCAATTAGGTGAGATTCTTTAGGACAAGCCTGAAATCTAGCACACACACAAACAAAATGCATAATATCAGGTCTACTAGCAGTTAAGTATAATAGTGATCCTATCATACCTCTATACATAGTTTGATTAACTTCCAAACCTGATTCATCCTTGTCTAAATAGCATGAAGTTCCCATGGGTGTGTTGGCTTCTTTTGAGGTGTCCATACCAAACTTTTTGAGAATCTCCTTGCAGTATTTGGTTTGAGAGATGAAAATGTCATCTTTAAGTTGCTTGATTTGTAGTCCAAGGAAGAATGTCAATTCTCCCATCATAGACATTTCAAATTCTCCCTGCATAATCTTAGCAAATTCTACACATAACGAATTATCAGTTGATCCAAAAATTATACCTGGACCAATAAGATATGTTCTTTTACTTTCTTAATGAACAATGTAGAATCAATTTTTCCTCTTGAAAAATCATTTGTAGTTAGGAAACTACTTAATCTTTCATACCAAGATCTAGGAGCTTGTTTTAACCCATATAATGCTTTCTTTAATTTGAAAATATGATTAGGATTATTAAAATCTTCAAATCCAGGGGGTTGCTCTACATACACTTCTTCTTTAATAAAACCATTTAAAAATGCACTTTTAACATCCATTTGATATAATTTAAATTTCATCATAGATGCATAAGCAAGAAGTAGGCGTATAGCCTCTAACCTGGCAACAGGAGCATAAGTTTCATCATAATCTATACCTTCCTCCTGACAATACCATTTTGCAACAAGTCTGGCTTTATTCTTTGTTATGTTTCCATCTTCATCAAGCTTATTTCTGAATACCCATTTAGTTCCAATAACTTGATGTGACTCTTCTCTTGGGATTAATTCCCAGACTTGATTCCTTTCAAATTGGTTAAGTTCTTCTTGCATGGCTATGCACCATTGATCATCTTTAAGTGCTTCCTCAATGTTTTTAGGTTCAATCTGTGACACAAAAGCAACAGACATACATAAATTTGTCATATTTCTAGTTCTTACCCCTTTTGAGATATCACCTATGATATTGTCCATTGAGAGTCCTCTAGGTGATTGCCATTCCTTTGCTAATTGAGGAGTTTGAGAAGGCTCATTATCTTCTAAATACAGTTCATCAAGAGCCTCCCTTATATATTCATCATCACCTACAAGTCTTTTATTTGACTCAAGAGGATTTCCCCCAAGGTCTACAATCTCATCAAAGGTAACATGAATAGATTCTTCTATATTTAAAGTTCTCCTATTAAACACTCTATATGCCTTGCTAGTTAGAGAATAACCTAGAAAAATGCCCTCATCAGCTTTTGAATCAAATTTTCCTAGATTGTCCTTTCCATTATTTAGCACAAAACATTTACATCCAAAGATTTTCAAATGGGCAACATTAGGTTTTCTACCATTAAACAATTCATTTTTTTTTATAATTGACCTAATGAGCATCCTATTCAAAACATATTAAATGATCAATTTTCTTAGAATAAATGCAAGAGACAAACAATTCATTTAACTATAGGAACCCAAATATATTTGCCTTTAGGAACACCAAAATGTTTAATTTTACACCTATTTGAAGTGTGACCTTGTTTCATACAATAGAAGCATGCATTTTTAGAACAAGATACATTATTAACATGACATGCTCTAGTTCCTTTTTCTACCCATACTCTTTTCTTTTTAGTTTTACTCTTTTTCAAAGGAACTCTTTGATTTACATTATTTTGAGCAATTCCCATTTCATGCTTCTTAAGATCATCAATTTCTTTTTCGGCTTTGTCA